TTTGCTTGATTTTTTAACCACCAAATACCCCTAGAAGTTAGTTGATATGCTACTCTAAATTAGGGACTCAAATCAGTGGCTAAACTATTCTTATTTTACCTTCTTGCTGAGAAAGTTTCTTGACAGCAACATAGCCAAAACAGTCTCTGTTTTCGAGCATCAAACCAACACCCAAAAGTTCTTCATCTTACTATCCATTTTAGAGATTTAAAGTATACCATATGTAGCTAATTTCAAACACATAAAACCCCTGATAAAGTTACCCTTTCACCTCTCAAAAAGCTTGTGTTTTCCACCACCTTTTGGCAACATACTTTATATCCAAGTTAAAGCTAGGTATATTCTTGATTTCTACTCTTTTTTTTTATCATCAAGTCCACTGATTTTAAATGATTTAAGACATCATAAAAGTCTAACATACATGTAAACATATGTATTTATGTGTTAAGACATCCAAAAGAATACTCATATCACGAGCTTGAGTGGAACCGGAAACAGTACAAACCATTCTCAAACCGACTAATTCTACGCGACAAAAGTGAGTTTTCTACGGCCCCTATTTTATGTTTTACAAGTTTTGGGGGATAATACACACTAAAAAAATCCTAGTTGGATGATTTAAAGACTTTTCAAACTAAAAATACAAGTTATGTCACTAAACATATCTAAGCTCTGGGAGTTTACGGATCCAAATTTCGACTTACGATGATTTTTCTATTATTTTTCTAAAAACATGGACAAAATTGCCCTTTTGATTTACCTTGCTGTTTGGTTTTTCAAATATATATACAAAGTTTTGTTGTAAATGAGAAATACACCAATTATAATATTTTTTAATTCACACATACTTTAAGAGTTACAAAAGTAAAAGTATGACAATTATTTCTAATATGATCATGTTGGCAACCTTATAACATAAGATGATTTGAACTATGTCGATGTTGGTCACTCGCAGCTGGGGTGTTGTATAAACTTTGTTGGTCACTTACAGTCGAAGTACTGTCTAAACAATTGTTATGGTCACTTACAGTCGGAGTACTGTCTAAACATGTATATGGTCACTTACAGTCGACGTACTGTTTAAACTAGTATAGGGACACATATGACCGTTGTCCTAGATCGTATAGGGACACATGCGACTGTTGTCCCAATAGAACTTTGGTAGCTTTACATTATTAAGCATTACAACCAAAATTCTTCTAACTCAAACAATCATGAATTATAAGAAAGTCCTAGATACAAATATACTAATACACACTAGGATGAGGTTGTATGCAGTATAAATATTGGTTATAGATTGTTAAACCGATTGTTAGTGTCTATTTATACAAACAATAAATATTTTGCTTCACATAATATGTTAATATATACTTTTATCATAAGTATTTTTACATGGATACTTGTATCAGATTTCAAGTATCGGGTCTCACACGAAGCATATCGGTAACATTGTTGACCATGTTTTTCACAACTTATTTTGTTAAGCATTCAACGTTTTATAAAGATTTCTTGTCATAAAACTCACGGAGTCAAAACCTGTGGTACTCACCACCAATTTTTGTTGGCGTGTTTTAAAAATGTGTATTCTCAGGTAACTAAGAAACTAGAGGTAGGACATCGGTTCTATTTGGAATAGACTTAACTTGTTTACCGTTGTGTGTTTAAAATGAAGATGTAATTTCAATTCCAAAACTTAAAGGTTTTTAAAATATTGATTCAAATATGTTAAGTATTATATATATGTGGTTGATTGTGATCCAATTATATAACGTCACAACCCCGATGATTTCCGCCATCGGTCGGGGCATGACAGTCAGCTACTAAGTGAATATATCAAGTCACATGTGACAAATGTTGCATAATCTCAGAGTGATGGATTTGACCCTATTGTGTAGCTCTTTTCTGAGTCCAACTGTTGTATGGATGAGTCTGTTACTCGAAGGATTATCTAAGCTTTGTTATATGTGATCGTATTCATGAGGTACCTAACTGACATTATGAGGAGTTCCTCACCAGCTGATGGCAGGGTGAGGTTGGGAACCTAGGAAAGCATAGGGATTGCTTCGGTGCATTTTGTTGTGCTAGGTAGCAAGTGTTTGGTATATGGATTTGAGAAGGTGACTTGGAGGGTCTGGGAGGATTCTTGAGGAAAGTATGGATAGGTGTGGAAGGTAGTATTGGGTTCGTACTACTGAAAGCACAATATTCATACTCGAATCGGGAGAGTCCTGGAGAATCTAAGAAACCTGTGGGTTGAGTATTCTCGGGTATACTCAGATCTTTTGCATGTTTTTTTCGGTATGGTGCTGAGCACTTAGGAATTGGATTCAGAGTCTGGTTCTAGCTCAGGAGTAGGTACTGAGCCGATCGATGCGCGGTCGTAGGAGTTCATCCCATCAGAGATTACTCACAATGTTTTGGATTAGACCTCGGTGGTCTTTGGTTCATCCAAGGATAGGATTATGGAGTTGTTTGATGGTCATCTCGGGGCCTTTTAGGCTGGTATTGTGGTAGAGCAGTTGGAGGCTTATCTGGAGCCCAAAGTTGTGGATCCATAGAATCCTCCAGGAAGGAGGATCCTATTATTAGTTCTTGCCATTTGAAATTGGATATGAGTTTTGCTCCATGACCTCAGGATGGTCGGGGTAATTCAGGAGGAGAAGGATGTCGGGATTCCTTCAGATACTTTTGCGGGTATGCCATCTTCTATTTTCTTCTAGGTTTATATAAGGACTTTGTATTGCGTTAGATTTTTCTTGGGTTGAGTAAGTTATCTCTCGGGTCAGTTCTGTGCTATTGCATAGGTTATCAAGGATTATTATATGCCATTTTGCATGCCGAGAGTCTTCGATAAATCTTCAGAGGGTCGTATCTTGTTGAGAGGGTTTCAGCGTGTTCAGTTGTTGTTCCGAGTTTTGTCAGGATCAATTCTGGGGTATTGTTTGGAGGATCTTTGTATAGGGTTAGCAGGTTAGTTCTCTAGTGAAGTTAGGGTTCTGTTATTTGTCATCTGTTCTGGTATGATCGGCGGTTGCCTATGGAATAACTGTTAGGTTCAAGCACTACCGTTGATAGGAGAGGAGCGGTAACAGGAAGATGGTGGTCTAAGTTGCATGAGTTATTTGGTCATTAGAAATGTCAAGGGAGTTGTATGATCGCATGGGTAGTAGACGATTAGAGTTCGCTGGTTCTTCGAGAATGGAAGTTAGGGTGAAGATTCACCAGTTCGGGACAAGGGTTATGGTTTTAGTCGTCAACATAAGAACTCAATGAATTGGTATGGTATTATGAGAAGTGATTTGAATTATCAGACTTGTTAAGGTCTCTAGACTATTCTCCTGGATTTCATAAGTTGGACGATCATTGTACTTGATTGTAATGGGATGCCGGTATTGACTAGCACATGTCATAGGCGGTTCAGGCTGTATGAGGTTGATGGGTTGGGAATCCATCAAGATTTAAGAGATGAAAGAGCTTCGTCAAATCCAAGTGGGGGAGATTCGATCAGAATTTACGGAAGTATGGAAGGATGTGGAACTAGGGCAAGTTTCACATCCTGGTCAGGGAGAGAGAAAACCTTAGTGGCCATTCATATTGAGATTGTGTAAGCGGGGGTTCAAGAAATATCCAATCATTGGCCAGTGTCTTCTGTATTATACACAACAGGCTTGTGGGTGAGTCCGTGTTGAGGGATTCGGGATTCGAAACGTGACCCAAACATCTGTTTGGATGCAGGTTTCGGTTCAAGAGGCATGTGGTTGTGATGGTTAGGGTGTGGTAAGGTCATGGGTGGTAACCATGGTTGGTTAGAAGTGTTGTAAGATTGTGATGGGATCGTAGCATTCACCGGTTCGTGATTGACTATCGATGGGGATGGTCATGTGTGGAAAAGGGGAAATCAATTTGTGCTTTGGGCACACCGGTCAGGATTACCGGGGAGTATTCTCTATTTAGGTTGAGGACCATTGGGGTCCGAGGCGGAGTCGGGCCTGCGTAGCTCTAGATGGGTGGGACCCGTGGGCGAACCCGCTCCATAGTATATATGGGTAGGACCCGTAGGCGAGGCCAGCATAATTATGGAAATACAGGAGGGACCTAGTGGAGAGCGCTGGTGTTGAGTTTTAGTTAAAAAAATAGTTTCAAAAACTAGAAAATATAGCAACGGAAGACTTTAATTTTTTGAAATAACATGATCATAGTAGCCATGAAAATTTTAAGAAATATAAATAAACATAACATAAAAAGAAAATTTAAAAACTTGATGGAACAAAACGTCAAAAAGATTAGAAAAAAGTTCTTCGAACAAAAAGTAAAAAAAACATTAATAAATGTATTTGAAAAAAATGTCAAAAAATAGAAAAACTTACTCGAATAAAAACATCAAAAAATTTAAGCAAAAACATTAAAAAAAACATTAAATAATATATTTGAACAAAACGTCAAAAAATCTAAATCATAAAAAATACAAATAAATTAAGTAAAGACAATAATAAATAATAGACAAAATTACATAAATGGTCCCCAGGAAAACATTAATGATCTTATGGCCATAAGAGCAAATGTGTCAGAGTTAACTAATGTTAACCAACAAGACTGTCTGCAAGTTTCATAAAGACTAAAGTTGGTCGGTTTTGTCAACCACAAGGACCATTTATGTAAATTTGTCTATAATCAAACATGGTTTCTCCGAAAAAAAATGTGATAAGAATTAGAAAAAAAAATGAAAAACCTCATTGCATAAATAATTATAAGCATTTATTTAAGAATGGGGAACTTTCCATGATTATCAAAATTTTGTTATATTGGATTTTTATTTCATATGTTCCATATTTAGGTATTTCATATTTTAGATTACAATAAGTGTTTAGTTTCTGCCTTGCCATATTTTAACTTCCACATTTTAGTAATTTCATATTTTTGTTTTTATGTTGAACCAGTTCAAAAGTGAATGATATAGTCTTGTAGAGAATTTTGAAATTAAAATACAGTCATGTATATTTCCTCCTTTACACTTTTAGTGAACTGCTGTTAAGAGCCTTGGCTACGAATAAGACAATCAATGTTTGCAGGTTTTATTCCATATGCCTATGAAAAAATATTGTACTACCTCCGTCCAAAATTAAATCCAACAAATATTGTCCACATTTAACTTTTGAAGTCTTTATTATTCAACGTTGACCTGAAATCCAACAACACTGCCTCTGCCTCTGTTTGTGGCAGAATATTGTGAGTATATATTAGTTAATGTTGAACATAATATCAGTTATTAACAGTTTAACACAAAAAGGTGTGTCCATTGATGAATGTTGTTGTGAAAAAGGCTTGTGTTTCGGCAAAACGAGATAAATATGTATACACAAAATATATCTAACCTAGCATTGTATAAATTTTGAACATGCATGTTTTGTAGATCCAACTCTCTGGGACAAGACAACACCAAAACCAAAAGCACCTTCATTGCCATTAGAAAACATAAATAAACCTAAAAGAAGACTGTTTAGATTCGATGAGCTGTAGAGATGAGGAAAGGTCAGGCAAGTCAAAGTGTATATAAGTCTGTTGAGTGGACTGCCAGTTGATTTGTGTGCTAGTTTATATATGTTATGAGAACAGGGTTTTTGGGATAAAAGTACCTTAGCGGCCATCCTCAAGTACGCCAGTCTTCCTTTAGGACAAGGCTTTGAAGTAAAATTCATTATCTAATGAAAAGAAAAAGATTAGAAATTCGGCAATGATCGCTGAAAACTAAAACATGAATTAAAATACTATCATTTAGCTGTTATCAGCTTTAGTTAAAAAGTAGTAGATATATAAGAATGACATCTACCTATAAAGTGGGCGCCTTCTCCACATAGATAATAATAGTTTAGTCGAACTATATCAAGGCCAGGCCACAAAATTCCATCTTTGTTTAGGATGTATTCTCCTGTTGTTGTTTGAAATCCGGTGAGATCTCGACCAATAATGTGATTCCATGACTTGTAATAACCTAACACATCTTGTTTCTCATCCATGTTGCCATCATCATATACAAAACCAACCCCACACTCCTTGATAACTGCATCACCAATATCATCTGGTTCCCACATCACCATAATAGTAACGTGGTCACCACATTCCATCTCGTTCATCCCAAACATCCAATGACTTAACAATGTCAAGCACTTTCCACCGATATCAAGTACACTGTCAACGTAATGTTGGTATATCCAGGTGAGGTTCTTTGTTATATTACAAATTTTGATCACCGGCAAATCTAGGAGAACATCATCTACTAAATCAATCCCCTCATCGGGAAATGGAGATGCCAACACACAACAGAAATTTAATCCAGTGAGATTGTTAGTAGATGATGAGATGGTAAATGATATAGATGGCCCCATGCTTCTATCTATAATCCAATTCGGCATCTCTTCGCCTCCATAAATTGTGCTGAATATTCCAAATTCATAATACATCTGCCAAATACAACCACCTTCATTAATCACCACATTAATTGTATATACATTAATATTTACACAAAGACATAATTAACTACAGAAAACCTGGATTTCAGATTCATCTGATTCCCCATAAGTAGAAGAAGTTGTCACGTGCCTTCCGTTCAGGAAGTCTAGATTAGTCCAGCCCAGACGATGTAATACTTTTTCCTCAACACCTGCCATTGGTTGGATTTTGATCACACCTTCAAATTCAGATGATGAATGTACCAAGATCCTCCGTCCTAGTGCTAACTTGAGTGGGGACATTTGTGGATCAAATACAACTTTTCGTAAAAAACACTTATTAGAATGAAGGTTCAAATGTGTGAGTGTATGTGGTGGATGCTCAAATGTTGTCAGCATTTTACAATCGCTCATACTAAGTATCTCAAGCCTAGGAAGGGTTCTCACACAACTGGGCAGGGAAACAATAGGATTTTTATCTAGAGTTAATTCCTTTAACATAGGCAAGCAACTGAAGTCCATAGGAAATGATTCAGAGGACAAATTATTATTCTCAAGTGATAAGCTCACTAAAGATCTCGGTAAAGAAATCACAGAGAACTTTGAATAACTTGGCATAACCTCCACAACAGTGGAGGAAGAGGTTATAGTGTTTATGCCAATATTGTTTGCCTTGAGCATTTCTGAGGAATCCATATCCCTAATCCTGATTTGAGATTCACCAAGATGACAACCGTTTAACAATAGTGTTTTAACTTTCTTTAACTTGCCTAAGCTTTTTGGAAGTTTTTTCAGCTTCTTGCAATAGCTTAGATCAATGAGGGCAAGTTCAAAGCATTGCTGAATTGATTCACAAACCTCCAGCAAACCAATACACCCTTTGAGTATTAACCATTCAAGTTTAGGGAGGTGGTCAAAGCCACGAAGACTACGAATCTGTTCACAAAAACTTAAATTAAGAATCTTCAACGAACCAAGCAATCTTTTGTCTTTTGAGCACGATCCAATCATTTGCTGAAATAGAGATCGGTTACAATAATAGTGAATTTTTTCAACACGAACTAGAAGAGTAATACATGGAAATAAGTTACCTTTAGCCTCTTATGAAGTCGTTGTGGATAGCTATAACAAATCTCCAATGATTCAATATTGCTATATGACATGTCAAGAGCAACCAAATTCTCCATCGATAAGTCAGAAGGTATATATTTCAAAGGGAATCCATGCATACACAACCATCTTAATTCTTCTGGAAATTTTTTGTAAGAGCCGCTGATTTGCACATAATTGAGTTGTAGCAACATTAGCCTATCCATCTTACTCAATGCATCTGTTTTCAACTCAAGTGATCCATGTAACTTCTCTTTCTCAAGCATTCTCATATCAAGAGTGAGTCCTAGAACATTTTCCGTACCCTAATAAGTAATGGATGCAAAAACATTTTAAAATGTTAGGCATGTGCATAGAAATACAAACCGCTTTAAACAAGTATATATGTCCTCTTACCTTTTCTTGTTTCAATACTCTAAATGACTCATGACCCCATAATTGACTTCGTTCCCATGGCTTGTAAAGTGATTCTTCACGTACCAAAAATCTTCCCATCTCTTGAACCAATTGATGCATCATCAATTCATTAGTATCTCCAACACTAAGAAGGCATTTGTCGATGAGATTCGTGATCCCAGTTTTTGTTTCTATATCACATGCCTCTAATATTGTTCTAGTAACATCTCTATCCATTCCAATAAAGATACAAGCAATATACTTAAATAAGTTCTTATCACTCTCTGATGCCAAAGAATCAATGCTCATTCTCAACACATTATTTATAGGGGAATCATTTTCTTTCTTTAGTTTGTCTATGTAACCCTCCCAATAAGTTACTTCTCGATTATGTAGAGACCTACCCAAAACTTCAAGAGCCATTGGATGTCCTTCACAATAGTTCACAAGATTTTCGGACACCTCTTCATAACCTGGCTTGGGATTATTACACATGAATGCATGAAAACACAAAAGTTTTTGTGATTCAGTAGTAGATAAGCCTTCAAGCTTGTGTTCTGCATATTTGGGTTTAATTTTCATTTTGAATAGTGAACAACTCTGTGTCAACCATGCGTCCTTTGTTGTTATTAGAATTTTGCTTCCTGGACGAAAACCTTTGCTTCCAACTAACGCATCCAACTGGTCAAGACTACCAATATCATCAAGAACTAGAAACACTTTTTTATTGGCTAGTACTTTCTCTATCATTGAGGTGTATATAGAAACATCATGAACTTGAACTACCGAACTTGGTTTGGAAATGTCAGCATAGAGTTGTTTTTGTACATCAATCATTCCATTATACTTTTTATCACATCGCCTACTTATGTCTATAATGCAGCTGCTTCTGTCAAATTCATGAGAATGTAGTGCGTAGACATATTTGGCTAAAGACGTCTTCCCGATCCCACCAATACCTAAAATAGTAACTATATCTGTCGTAGGCGACGATGCATCCTTCAACCATGAAGTGAGGAATGAAATGGAAACTTCCATGCCAATAAGTTGTGGTAATGGAAACCTTGATGATATGTGTAATCTACGGAAGATGTCCTTGACAATTTCATTAATAAACTCCACCTCAAGCCTGTAATTTGATTTTAGTAAGAACAACAAAACATAATCAAAACAATTAACATGTGATGCTAGATATTTAATTTTTCCAATGATCCAAATCAAATTTATATCATATTAAGCGATTATGTAATTAAGTTTTTCATATCATAACTAATATCATATTTGCACTGCTAACCAAAGATCTTCTAGCCCAGCAGTATTTGTCTTCCCTCTTTAAGGTTGAGGGTTCAAGTCTCGTTTGAGACATAGGCGGATTTAGGAATAGTTTAGTAGTAGATAATACAATAATAGATAAATAACTGTAACAATACAAAATTACTAAAAGGCCCTTAGAGCTAACAAACTCCTAACTAACTTGAAACTAGCTGGCTAATAGATTTGTCATTCCAAAAGGTATTAAAGGAGAAGATAAGGAGGAGACATATTGAAATGCATAAGGAGAAGATAATGTTGAATTTTCATGCACTAGTTTAACAATATTAAAGGACTGTAGAAAAATAGGTACGAGGTTATTTCTAGGGGCAAGATCAAATGTTGTGCTCTTCTTGTGTCTGATGTTAAGCTTACTTCTTTTATGTAGTATAGATGTAGAGGAAAAGGGACTGGGCAGTTAAATTGGTATTGTTGATCTGTTAATTAACCCAATGTAAACTGTTTTTTTTTTCTAGCTTCTGGCTAGCTTTAGAAAAAGTCTTATTGTGCAAAAAAAAAAAAGAGTATGCAAATATGAGTAAGAAAGTGGTTACCTGCCGTTTGCATCCTTCCCTTTTAAATCAGCAACTTCTCTAAGCGCTTTATTCCAAAGCTCTATCTTTTCGGCCCATTGACTTCTTTTATTTAAATTTGTCTCTGCCTCCATCTTCTGTCTATGCTTAGCCATTGCATCTTCGAAGCTACTTTGTTGCTTCCTAACATGGGTGGGCTCAACATGATAAAAGATGGGGATGACAATATGATTGGATGTCATACGTTGCTCAAGGATCAACACCAGTTCATCAAGACACCACGTCGAAGTAGCATAATTTTTGGACAACACGATAATAGAAGCCCTAGATGCTTTAATGGCACTCTCCAATTCTGGTTTTAGATCTTCCCCGGTTTCAATCTCTTCATCGTCCATGAAGGTAGTGATATTGGCATGCATGAGGGCGTTGTAAAGGTGATTAGTGAAACTATGACGAGTGTCAACACCTCTAAAGCTTAAAAATATGTCATATCTATGAGTTTGAGCTGATGAAGAGGATGAAGATCCTTCTGAAACTGAAAGTTCTGAGAGAACAACCATTCTGAGTTATGGTTTATGCCCCTTCACTCTTCCCGTGATTTTGTTTATCTTATTTCTTGTTTGGCGATATATGTTGGTGTATCCCAGTAAGCTGTGTAACTCAGTTTCCTGCGGACATCATCGGTAATGAATAATGTTGGTTTTACCGTTTACCTCTTCCGTCACTTGTGCTTCAATCTCAAGATCCCATACACAATGTCTCTACTCTCTACAAACGAGATAAAATCCAAATATTAATGCATTATGCAACTTAAGTCTCATCAAACATGTTACACCTCAAAAATAATACCATATATACTCCTTAAAAAACATTTAAGTGTTTAAAAAACAATACATGCACCTCGATGTTTGCCAAGTGTGAATTAATATGCTTCAGAAACAACCAGAACACATATAGCCACGTACAGATTGGTTTAAAAATTGGTTATTTGAATTGGTTAATCTGTTTTTCTGGCTAAGTTTGTGTGCAAGAAGATATCAAACCATTCAATTCAGTTGACTGATGAAACCTGTATTTTGGTCCGATCAACCCACCATAAACACCCCTACTATTGTTTAAACAAATTAAAATCCATCTAAATTTCAGCCGAATAATCCTCAAACAAACTAACACCAAATACCATTGTAGAAACAACAACAAAATCCACTCGTGCCTCATATGAAACGAATTGTAAAACATATAGGCAATTTCAAGTTTTCACTAGATACCAACAAGCAACGAGGATATAGAAGACGAACCAAGGGAGACGAGATATGAAGGAAGACGAGTGGAACCTACAGAGGGTACGGCAGTAAGTTTTCAGGGGAATGAGTCAACGAGGGAGGGAGACGACGAGAGAGGGGAAGGTCCTCATGGTTTGTGGATGCCCTACTCTTCAAAACCAGTGATGATATATATTTTAGTAGATTGCAAATATGATCCCTATGCTTTGCTCAGAAACACAGGTTTCGTCCATCTGTTGATTTTGTCCAAAAATGGTCCTCATGCATTGTTCCATTTTTGTTGTGTAGATATTTTTTTATCTTCAAATCTAACTTTATAGGCGTTAAACAACCCTAGCGCAATGTCATCGGATGCTTGGTCGTGCCACATCAGCTTTTATAACTATTGATCTCATACGGATACAATAAGGCTAAGCGGAGTGGCTCGCCAACTACCATCGTCAAACTCGCTAAGCAACTTGGAACACCGCCCCCTAGCGCTCATCACTGTGTTGGCGAGAAGAGAGAGAAGGTGAGAAATGAATGGGATTGGGCACTGTGTGGTTCAACCGGATTACTAATTTGCTTGACAAAATTCAATTTATGAATTCAATTTAACAAACTTTACTCTGCAATAAAAATGGTGATTTTGTTTCAAAAAGAAGAAGATAAAGCGTCTGTTTTTCAAAAGAGAAGATAAAGTAGATGAAATATGATATATTTATTGAATGGTCCTTGTAGTTTTACTTTACCAAAAAACTTACTCCCTTGAGTTTTAAGATTCTTTCTAAAGAAGTTTCTAAAGAAGCTACAACAATGATACAAATTCATTTATAATAATAATAATAATAATAATAATAATAATAACTAATTACAAAACAAATAAATAATTAAATTTAAAAATTACATTGGTAAAACAAGTTAAATTAGTGATATATCAATATTTTGTAACGTATAATGTTGATTATCAAACATTCAAACTTATTTAACATTGGTAAAATATATACCGTTGATTATCAAATATTATAATAATTGCTTTTGATTTAAAAAAATAAAATTTATTTAGTATTTATGCATAAAAAATGTTTTTATATTAAAATAAAGTAATTTAATTAAATTAGAAAAAGAAAATAAAAGAATGGAATGCTACAAGTATTACCACTCCTTACCAAATGCTAAGATTAAATGCTGAATGTTCAAAAATGAGGTCACACTTCAAAATCTGATATGGCAAAGTGTTAAGAGTGTTACCACTTATCTTAGCTAACAACATTATTTCAAAATTGGTTGTATGACACATCATCTACATTAAATATTTAATACATATTAATTAAAATATTGATATATGTATAATAGTTTTAAATATAATCTATAAATCATTTATAAAATTTGTACTAAATTAATAATTGTAAATATTTAATACAATTTATTAATTTGTTTTCTAAAAATAATAATAAGTTTTTAAGAACATATATATAAGGAAATCTGAAATTCACAAATTCGTTAATTTGTTTTAAAAAAGTGGGTTTAAATGATGTGCGGATGACACAAAGTACCGACAATAAAGGTGGTAGATATGATAAAAACAATCACGTTCTTATGGTTTAAACATGAGAAGGGTAATGGAAGTTTAAAATGCACAGATTGGAGTATAAGTCCTTTTATAAGTTTGTAATTGTTTCCTAATTATCTACTTGTATTCCTTCGTTAAGTTTGTAATTGTTTCCTAATTATCTACTTGTATTCCTTCGCTGACTAGCATCTTGCTAGATCGCTTTATTAATATATTCATTTGCTAGTTAAAAAAAAAAGTTGCATAATCAATTAGAGCAAGATGATTGTGGGTTATGGTAATTTATTTGCAACTTGCAAGGCTATTGACATTTATTTATTTACTTTTTTTTTTTGAAGGATCATAGAATTTTATTGATGAGGATAGCAAGGCGCAACTTGCGACTATGGTCTATGGACAATGAATGCTCCCATGTGCAAAAATACTGAGCTCTCACTTTCCTATTCTATCTTCTAGGAAAATAGATGCCCCACGTGACACCATATTTTTGAGACCATAAAATAAAAGATAATTTCTTCCTTTTTATTTTAGCCACTGGTTATTACTCGAGTAAATTCTACGAATTATGCTATAGTTTCGAGTAATTTATTCGTTCGTTCATTAATTTATTTTTTAATTCAGACGGTTCTTAATATTTATTTTTGTTACGTTTATTGTTTTTGTCGTACCTAAAAATACTATTATGTCCTTATTAATATATTTTTTATTTAATTATATTATTTTTTGCTACTTCTAAAATTAATTATTATAATTTAATCAATAAATTACACATCATCCCTTTATCCCTCTTTCACCCGGTTTCCTCTCTTGCCGGAAAATGCCACCAAGAAGAAACTAACTTCCACCATCACTACACCACTAGAACAAATAACCACTACCGTTTACATCAAAAAATAAAAACTATATGGAATCAATTAAAACCAAAAATAAAATCTAAAATCAAAACTGAAAACTTGAAATCAAATCATAAATCAAAGCCATAATTGATTCATTCAAACCAGACATTCAACCAATTAAACCCAATAACATACTAGAATCAAAAATCCTAACTAGAAACCCTTCCCCAAACTCTTTGATTTACTGCTTCGAAGCATTGCTGTAACATCCCAAAATACGACCCAAAAATTTTTGTTTAATAATTACTAAAACCATCATATCAACATCATAAAATAAAAACCCATACGTCAATATCTCAAAAACCATCACAAAGTATCACGAGAAAACTGTATCAAATCATATCTATGTGAAACATCCCAAAATACGACCCAAAAATTTTTGTTTAATCATTACTAAAATCATCATTTCAACATCATAAAATAAAAACCCATACGTCAATATATCAAAACCATAACACGTATCACAAGAAAACTGTATCAAGACTGAATCAAAACACATCAATGAAAAACTAAATCAACTCCCAGGACAAACTGAAGCTGTGGTGTGTGCGATGCCATCATCCCGAGCTCTTCCCCTTACTTGCGGAAGTACCTGAAACCAAAACTGAAACTGTAAGCACGAAGCTTAGTGAGCTCCCCCAAACTACCATATACCATACAATACATATAAATCACATAGCCCACTGCATCGGACCGAAGTCCGGAAACTGCATCAGACCGAAGTCCGGAACTGACTGGGACCTTGTCCCCTGCATCGGACCGGTGTCCGGAACTAGCTGCATCGGACCGAAGTCCGGAAGTGACTGCATCGGACCGAAGTCCGGAACTAACTAATCATGGCATAGCATAAACACATATCAACTAGCATAACACATATCATCTAGCATAAACACATGTACTGCATACTGCATCAGGCCGTAGCCCGGAACACATAACACATAAATCCTGTCTGAGCCACGAAGGCATCAAACATACTAACTACTGCATCGGACCGAAGTCCGGAAACTACTGCTAGCTAAACGAGCCGGCATTGTGGCCTTAGACCCGTTCCTACTGTAAGGAAACTCACCTCGTGATGCTGACTGCTGAACTCCTGAATGAGAAATCCCTGACTGCTACTCCGGCTGCTTCCCAACTATCATGGGAAATAAAATACTAAATCAGAATAGGGATTCTCCTATGGGTAAAATGACCATTTTACCCCTGCTATGGCATGGGTCACAACATGGCCCAAAACCCTCAATTCCTTCTAAGTCCATCCATGGCCCCACTATAGGCCCACTAATGGCCCAATTTGCTATATTGGGCCCAGAACCCCTTTATTGGGCCTTACTCAAGCCCAATACTAAATCCTTGGTCCTTAGCAACTGAATTATGATGGGCCATAAAGGCCCAAGGACCCTAAGCCTGAAACCCAGCCCACACCGAGGCCCAACACTCAAAGCCCAAATTGGCAGCGTACGCGGGGCGTACACCAAGGTACGCTGAGCGTACTGGCTGCTGGCTTGTATGCGGCGCGTACTTCCTTATACGCCCAGCGTACAACTCTGTTAAGACAAAGTCTCATTAAGTGCTTAATAATCCGATCCAGAAGCTACAACTCCAGATCCTAAGCTTATTCCATGACTTAAGCCATAAAGTTGCTTACTTGATGGCTTACAAGTCTCGTAAAGTTGCTTACTTTATTGCTAGGAAGATGTTTCTGAGCCTTAAGAATGGCAACCCAAGCTCCAAATCCGACTTACAAGATCAAGACTCAACCTTTGGACCTAAAAAGGTCCAAACTTCCATAACCTAGATCTAGAAGGAAAGAGGAAGAAAGTTCAGAACTTTATACCTTCCTTTGATGACCAAGAGGGTGCGAAGTCCAGATCTCTGAGCTCAAGATTCTTCTCCAACTTCCTCTCTTCCTTCTTCACTACTTCCTTTCCTTGAAACACTCACAAAAGCTTCTTCACACACAAAGAGAGGATAAGAACGAATTAGGGTTTTCTTGAGAGTAAGGAGGCTGATGGGGAAACAGGGAAGGAGGCTATAATGGGGTTTATATAGCCTTAAACCCCTAAAATTAGGGTTTTTCCTCTGGCCGCGTACGTTGGGCGTACCATATGGTATGCTGCGCGTACGCTTCTCCTCCCCGCGCTTCATTTAACCATTACGCCCAGCGTACAACGGGTTACGCCCCGCGTACGGCTTATGGGCAGGCTATGACTCGGCCCAAAACAAAAGGCCCACTCCAACATACAATTCTATTATAGCCCAAAATAAAACTTGAGAATTTAAATAAATTTATACCTCGGAAGACGATCGTTACAATTGCCAGCACGTGACAACGATGTTGATGAACAAATGGACAATTGAAACCTATATCTCATATCGATTATTCAAGGCTTCCCCCTCTTTCTCTTTCACTCTCTCTGGTGGTTTACTCCGATGAAATCTTCGACAACCGCTTTCCCTTATTCTTCAACAAACCAAGAACAATCAAAACACTAAAAAAAATTACATAGATGAACCTGCATCAACCAAAAAATCTGAAAAAATTGGCAAACAAATCCATTACAAAACTAAATCCTAAATCAAACATAATTCAAATGAAAACCTGATGAAATTAAAAATCAAAGTAAACCAAAGTTGATGAAACCGAGTGTTAAAACCAAATCAAAATCTAACCCAAATCAAAAGTAAATTT